GTTCGCATGCACTGTCGAAACTCGACCTCTCGATCTCGGAGAAGGTCATTGAGACTGAACTCCATCTTGTAAGGCATCTTCCATCAAGCATCGTGGTACCGTAAGCCTTCTAAGATTACTAACAACTCTCGAGCCTCGCCAGCTTGGTTGAACAAGATGTCAATAAGGTCACTGGTGTCTGGATCGTCTTCAAAAAGTATGTTGCCGACCGAAGGAAATATCTTTTCGCCCAAGACCTGCTCTGCTAACCAATTGTCATCTTCATCAATATCCATCATTTCACAAAAGTTTTCAACCTCAGCCAGTGTCTTTTTCCGTTGAGATGTGCGGACCATCTTATTTGATGTGTTGAAGATATGATTGATGAAATAAATTGAGATGGATTGTGATTGGTTGATGTGGTAAAGAAGGAAACCCAAAGGTTTGAAGTCAAATTGGCTTGACCCATCACAGATGATCTGGTGCAGCGCTGTCCGGATAGTGAAACGGACAAGTTTGCTCCTTTTACGCTCATATATTTTACAGCATCTTTTATGAGATCGGACAAATTTTTAAAAATCCACTGTTATAAAAAATTTGTCCGTTTTTTTACGATTTTCACAAAAATAATTTGAGTTGAAACCCCCTAATGTTATGTGTTGGTTTTGCAGGTCTTCACAGATTAGGCGAGCTGACAATCCCCGACTCTAAAAGATACTTTGATGAAAGAAAAATTATCCTCCGATTGTCTCTCAAATTATCTTTGTGTAATTTTTTTTTTCAATATCAATTACCGTATTCAAAAGGCAACAGGAATTATCTCGGCGCTCCTGTGGTTATCCAGCAATTTTTCAGCTCTTCAGCTTGTCCAGTTTGACGTTTGAAATCGTACCTACGCAAAAGAGATTCAGATTTTATCACATCAACTGAGCTTTTTGTCACGTCCAACGGTTCCCCTCCAACTCAATCTTGGTTTTTAACTCAATTCCATTCCCATTTCAACAAAACTTTTTCAGGACACTTGTTAAGATCCGGTGGAGCTACGGCTTTAGCTCAAGCAGGTGCCACTATGGATTACATCAAAGATGCTGGTCGCTGGTTGTCGGAAGCTTTCTTAATATATGTCCGTGGACATGTGGCTTTATGTTTACCCAAAAATCAGAATCATGTGATTGGGAGCGTTGCTCATGTCGGTTCAAAAGTTTCATTTTCTTAAAAGTGAGTTTCGATTGGTGTTATAGACGCGTCAATGGCTTCCATGCCTAGTCTTTGTTTTTCACAGGTTAATGGCTTTATGCCTGTGTGATTCGGTCAATGGCTTTTATGCCTGTCTGGTGTTCTCTTTTTGACATTGATACTGACAATGTTTCTTGCTTTCACTTATTATTATTTCCACCCTCTCCTACTTCACCACTCTGTCTATACGGTTGATAGGCGGGTCGGAAAGGGTGCACTTTATGTTTGTTATCAGAAATTTATTCACCCTCGGCAATCTGCCTTGGGTTTCGCCCAACAACTCTTGTCCTGTTTTAGTATTTTACATACTAAGGTTTTGTGAGTAAGAACTTCACATTTCTAGTTGTTGGTAACGTGTTATTAACAGATGGGAATGTGATGAATTTCGGACTTCAAATTTTGAACGTAACGGTACTAACGGATCGGATCTTTTGATACATTTATAGCACCACATCCATGATGTCATGGCTGTTTACCATCTTTACCAAATTCATCTTTTCTTCATTCCCATAGTGTTTACCATCGTTCTATCTTTGGTTCTCGTTATCTATTGGGATGTTTTTCGTGCCCACCCGCCCTTTTGTACCTATCTATTTCATTTGTTGTTGTTACGAACTAGTCCTATATCTTTATTTTTTATTTTATTTTTTATCTCTTTTCAAAGTTACACTTTTTTATTATGGGGTTGCTTTTTCTTTCTTTAAAAAAAGAGAAGAGTCAAAGAGTTTCAGTTTTTATATTGTTTAGTTTCTTCTATTGTGTTTTTAGCGGTTTTACACTTTTCAGTAGCCAGTTTTTATTATTATATTTGTTATGTGTGGAGTTAGGGCCGCTAGCCACCCCGTAGGGTGCGCTTTATGTTTGTTATCAGAAATTTATTCACCCTCGGCAATCTGCCTTGGGTTTCGCCCAACAACTCTTGTCCTGTTTTAGTATTTTACATACTAAGGTTTTGTGAGTAAGAACTTCACATTTCCTTGAAAAAGATTTCAATGGGTCTTAGACATTTTCCGCATTTTCTCTTTTTCCTCTTTTTCCTCTTTGTTCCCTTTTCCTTTTTTTGCCTTTTTCCCCGGTGTTTCTTTCAAACTTCAGATAGCGAACAAAGTGACCAAGCACATGGTTCCTAATAAATAGCCAAAACTCAAGTTGTTCAGCGCGATAGAAAGAGAGCGCGATATCCACTAGTATTGTGGGCCATGTGCTTGGTCACTTTGTTGATCAGTGTCACATTTGTCCAACTCCAATCCTCTACATTGTTTCACAGTTCTCTTGCTTGTATTCCTCATCATACCCCCAAGGGTAACGATCCGTTAGAACTTTGCCAACTCACTTCGGTCGTCGATAGAGTGACTCGCATCCCCTTTCCTTGATGATCCAAGGCACAAAGTCAGGTTAGATGGGACTGAGGAAGGCAAAAGGAAAAGCCACATAGAAACAACTGGACTCACTTGGAACAACATGTGACTCATGTGGTCTGGTCAGAAGACGCGCAGACAGCTATGTGTATGTTGTTTGTGAGTCCTAGGTGGCTTTGGTGGTCTTTGCACTGGTGAGTAGAGTACACCACGGGGAGGTCTGGACCGCCCACCGACGGTGCAGGCCGGCCATCTGATAACCGCTGTAGAACTTATAACCCAACAAGGGTTATACAGAGCTGGAAGAGGATAATCTACTAATAAAATGACTAGTAGAAGTTGTCTAAGGACTGCTCTTCTAAAACAACACAATCAGAAAGAGCTCTGTTGTATTGAGTACTGATAAGGCACCAGAGAAATATAACTTCACACGTAATTTTAACTTCAAAAGCACACTTTGTATTACTATCAACACTGCTATAGTGTTATTCCCAATTGATAACTGAAAAAAAAATAAGCAATATCTGATTGATATTATTCCCAATAAGTCTTTATGACTATAAAACTAAAGTAAATTTCTCTTTATAACTGTAATAAAGGGCGTATTTAAGTGAACAGGTACTATTAAAATAAGTTTATGATGATAAACAAAATAATAATGGCGTAAATGATAAAGAAAAAAAAGGGGAACAACAGTCCCAAAACCCTCTCAAAGTATATATAACAATGTACTAGAACTTTTACAATGGTCAACAGCCTCAAAACCAATCAAATCCGCCCAAAATTCCCTAAAAACCCTATGATGACGCAATGTAATGGTTTTGTTACTAATAAATGATGTAATTTTCACAGCTAAAAGTGATCAATGACGCAATAATATGATGTACAGCACTTCTTATGATGAATACAGGCGATTTTTTCCTTGTAAACTAGCTGAAAACCAATTTTTGAGATTACGAATTTTTTCAGATGTGCTCCAATTTTTGATTACTAAAGTGCATCTTGTAGTCCACGTGTTACTGATCATTTCTGACACCTACATGACCTACTTCTGATGAGTGATGAGTAAGATATTGAGTTGTGAAGTTACGGTTTTTAGTGTTACATATGACTTGTGACTGTAAATTCGAGATTCACACCAATTCTTTATTTGCCTTATAACTTTTTACACACACCTCCGTTACTAATGATTTAAAGTTTGTACATTATGTAATCCACTCTTCTGCGTTGAATGAGCCATCTACCAACCTATTCTGACGTCATTTGACATATGTAATTAGCTGAAAACCTCCATTTTCCACGAATTTCACCCATTTTCTTCACTTTTCACAGCTACTACTAAGCCTTTCTTGCTCATGTAATATTACATCATCATCTATAGCCTTAAAAATCCCGGAAAATCCTCTTGGCAACCTTAAATTCCATCACTACCACTATTACACAACCAAACTACACGTGTACCTCTTGTTTACCAACTTCGAAAAAGTGCTTTTTTCCTAATAACTTCTGTTTCTACTTATCAACCTTGAAGATTAAAATTGTCATAGTATCATATAATGTTGTTCTTTCATATTCTAACCTCATAATACCCATAACTTTATTTTTACTAACCTAAAAACCATTTTCCAACCTTTATACCTATAATTTCGAATTTTTCTTATGTTTTTCTTTCTTTCTTTTTGTAATAAATTTGTAAGTAAACTATAATGATCTTAATATATAATGTGAAATAAAATGATGTAATGTTGACCTAATGACCAATACATAAGCCTACAAGAGCTTCAATTGATCAAAAACCTCCATTTCGAATTTTCTTTCCTGCTGAATCCTGCTAATAAACTGGTAAACTGGTAATTGTGAATTTTTTAATTGATCCCATAAATTGATCACCACACCGCCCATGCGTGCGCAGTGATGGGCGGCCTGAAGAAGGACCTAGGCTTGGCGGTTTATGAACCGCCGGTCGATCCCGTCCAAACGCGGCCCAAAAGCTCGCCAAGGGCGGACCTCGGCCAACGGCTGGCGGTCAGCCCCAGCGTCCCATGTGCGTGAAACATGGGCGGGAGCACAAGCATTCGGGGCATGCCCCGTGAGGTGCAGGGAGTCACTTCGGCGCCCTGAGGGGCAAGGGCAGGCAAGGCAAGGCGGGGGCAGGTAGGCTGGGGCAGGACTGGCCAATGCGGGCAGGTTTCACGCACCCCGGGTTTCGAGCCGTCCAAAATAGCAAAAACAGATTGTATATTATATACTTTTTCAATGGATGCAGCAATGCGGTCCAGGAGGTCGTTTTGGGGTTGGACAAGTACTGAGCACACAATGGGTAATGTAACAGGAAAGAGGCAAACAGTGGAAACGTTGATTTTTGTGAAAGTCAATTGTGTTCAGAAAGGGCAGGACGTTTTTCACACATGGTCAACCCCAATCTGATCATTCATTCATGACATCCTCTTGAGCTCCGCCAATTCCAGCCAAGACGTCATGTTCATAGGGAAGACGGAAGGAAACATTCTCGGCTACATCTTGAAATAGGTTTTGGCCATCAAAAGCGGAGATGTCATCATCATAAACGATGTTGTAGAAACTGTAATAAAAGAAAAAACATGTCAGTATGATTTAGTTAATGCGAATCACAATGACCAATTACTCACGACGCTGTATAATCATGGCCACGACAACGTAGGTCATTGAGCTGGTGATCGACCGCGCTCCAAATGGAACTTGAACCTTGTCCAACTTGAAATATGCAAACGGCCTCGCGACGCTGAACACGGAAAGTGCCAAATGATTGGTTAGCTGAACAAAACAAAAAATTAATCAATATGAAACCCACTAGGTAAGCAAAGCGGCAGCGCGCCAGTTCGCTGGTATTCGCCCAAACTGATTCAATGTCACTATGGTCTCCAGTTTGTCCTAACTTAATGAAAATCTGATTAAAGACATATTAGTGTTCATGTTTGGATACATTACCAGTATGCAACGGACACTCACTCGATGTACCAGACCCTTGAGGGTTGGAACGGCTCCATGGACTACAGGGTTTTTTGGATCGTAAACGCCAGTTAAGAGCTGTAGAGTGGTTCATGTTAGACAGTGCGCATGGTGAAAATCAGGCCAGAGAAAGTCACAACTGACCAGCAAATGAAGGCGCTCGCGCACATGTTTGCAAACATTTTTGATCTCCGAGTTGTATATCCGAGTCGCGGGGACATCACTGATGCCGTTGACTTGAGGTGGCAGGAATTGCGTAACAGCCCCACCTTGGCGCACAGCGGTCTAGTGGAAAAGGAAATGAGGGGCGGGGATACGGTCATAAAGATAAAGAATAGGACGAACCTTGATTGAATTGAAGAGCGAGTGAGGCAACCAATCGCGCTGAGGGGTTTCCAAAGCCGTATAAGACTCCAGAGATTCCTTCACAATAAACCTGTGAGCTGCGGTGATGATCGCACCCTGACAGATGGAGACATCAGGTAGGGTAACCAAAGGGAAAGAAATGTATCAACTGCGTACCCTGAGCTCTGTAGACACGGACCAAGCAACCGCACTGGGAGGATTTTGGGCATTTGGCACATGCGGCGCATTACCATTGAGAACATTAGGGGATGATTGAATAAGTTTGGTTAGAGTCTCAATGTGTTCATTATTAAGCTCGACCTTGTCCGATAAGCCTTCAACATTGGTGGAGATAGCGTTGACTCTCGCCAAGGCCGCTTCGACTTTGTCCAATATACCTATTACATGATCGGCCATCTTCAAGAGTTGATTGGACATTTTCTTGACCTCAAACTTGATCTTGGTATGACAGACACTCGTCACAATGTGGCGATACACCCCGTGGGCCTAAGGACGAGGAATCAAGAGACCATGAGATCAAAGGGACAAGGTAACACATGACACGGGAAGAAGCAAAAAAACCACTTGCCTCGCAGTTGGCCAGGGCGTACATTTGGTTGGCCTCGTCAAGGCCGGCCTTGGTGGCCAACTTGTCAAATACCAGGCTTTCACCAGCGCCAAGAGGGGTTCGTCTCTGATCGGTTGGTTCTTGGGATGCGTCTTCCTCCAGACGACGTTCAGCTTCACCTGAGTTTCGAAACCCCGGGGACCGGGAACGATCATTGTGGTTCCAGGCGGTGCCAGAGGTGCCTCTCGCCCCTGTCATTAAGGCGAGATGAAGAAAATGAGATATATGATGCTAAACAGTGAAAAAGGGACTTGGTACCTTGTAAAGTCGCAAAGTTACTAAAAGAATGGATTGAGGCGGGATTGGCCGGAGTGCGAGGGGATTGTGAGCTAGCAGGAGATGAATCTGGGGCAAGATTGCCTGCGTTATGAAAAAATTCAAGCGACTCAGTTAGATACGAAAAGCGGGGTTGGATGGTCAAGATTGACGAACCGAAGTTACGGTTCTGGAGAGTAGACATAGTTAACAAGCTATAAAGACGATGAATTCAAAAAGAGAAGTGAAAGGTTGATCAATCACAGTTGATATCGTCAAAATGAAAACGAGGATGTGGAAATCGGAAAGATGTCAAATGTCAGATATGTCGGAGATGGGGGTTACATGGTGACGGATCAGGGCTGTTTTTATATCCGGGGTTTTGGATCATGGTCTCCAATCAGCGGTCATCAGTCCAAAAGTTAGCTTTTTTCGGTCTATGACCAAAAGGTTTTGGTTGAGTGTGGCTGTGGTGACAGATGATTCGAGCAAGTGAGTCCGCCATTGTTCAGACCTTTCAGACGAATGGTCTTGTCCTTTTTGGGCAATTCGGGCTTGTCATCCGTGAGGTTGAAAACACACCAGTGATGAGGTGATAACACACCAACTCTGGCTTTTGGTTGGCGCCTTAAATTGGTCATTTGTTGGCCCTCGCAATTGGGCGATAATGCACCTGTGCATACAGAAAAACACCGAGTCTATGCGAAGATACACAAACCTGTATCGTCGCATGTGATCCGAGAGCCCTTCAATAGAATTTCTTAGCCAGATAGTAGGTCCTATCAAGGCCTTGAAAAGCTACAAGTCCCCACTTTTTCAACGTGGAGACCAATTAAATCTCACCATCTCATGTTACCAAGTCACCACCTCATATATAAATCTCACCACCGCACCCAAAAGTCACCACCATAACCTAAAGTCACCACCACACCCATAAATCTACCCACCTAACTGAAAGCTCACCAGCACACTCACAAATCTCACCGTCTCACCCTCAGCTTCAACCTCTCATATGTACAAGTCACCACCATACCCGAAAAATCACCACCCCATTCCTAAACCTCACCGTCGTACTTTTCCCCTCAACCTCTTATATGTAACAGTTGTCACCATAACCCAAACTCACTATCTCATCTACAGAACTCACCACCATACTATCACTAAAACTTTATCCTATTTCTCCTCAGCCAAGCCAAAAACATTACACTGCTCAGCTTCGTAACCAAAACCGCCCATGCACGACACCAATCAAATGGAGACCAACTCAACCCACCCAGAAGAAGAATATGTATTCCCAGTTCCGAACACCATCGAGATATACGACCTTGATCGTCGCCGGATGGACGACTATGTCCATGCCTTCGGAGCTCATCAGCAAGGTTATCGAACACGCATTGGCCACTCGACTGCAGGCAGCCATGTCTGCCACTACGATTGTTACCGAGGAGGCTACCCTCGTGGCGGCCAAGCGGTCGTTGGCACCACTCGATCTCTACGTATCGGTTGCCAGTTTCGACTCTCAGCTCGCTTTCTACCGAATCAGATGTGTTGGCTTCTCATACACACCCACCTGAAGCACAATCACCCACACGACCCCAATGTCAAACCTCGCAAAAAACCTCCTGCTCCAGACCCCATACTACCCCATCCATACCACCTCAACCTCGACGCCAACTTAGAAGACCCCTCCTCTTTTCCACTTCCCAGCACCTCAACCTCAAAGCCAGACGATACCGCCGCTCCCACTCCAAATCCATCGACTACACTGTATCAACCGAGCGATGAAATCATTACACATCTTCTTCAAAAGACTACAAACAATCTCACCAAACGCCTCCAATCCTTGACCCCACACCGTCGACATGAGGCAATACAGAAGATTGAGGCCATCCTCATGGATCAAGAATCATCTACACCACCCAGGGAACAACCTTCCACCGTAAACCCATCACCAATCGTTCAAGATGTGATCAATACGTATCACCAATCACCCAACACAGTCTCCCCCAATCTCTTCCTCCCTGAAACGGTAAGGGAGGCTATTCTCCTAACCGTCACGGTCAAAAGTTTCAAATTACTCAGCAAATATTGATGCATTTCTGTCATATAGGAGGTTATGCAATCCTTGATGCTCACCGATCACGTCACATCACCCGAACAACCCATTGAAGAATTGAATGACCCATCAGTGAGTCTTCCACCTCGATCAATGCAAATAAGCAGTTACTCATCAACGTTCATTGCAGATCAACAGCATTATTGACGATTTCTTTGGGACATCTGAATTCACCAAATCAACCTTCAACATCGAAGACTTGCTCTTTGCCGACGCGCCACCAGCACCGACGCACTGTACACCACCATCCTCATCACCCCTTCCACTCACGACTAGCATCACGAACGTCCCCCTTGCAGCCACTACGGGTGCAACTGCTGCACTGGTCACTGAACGTGAACGCAGGGAACAACAACTCCAGTTACCTGCCTCACTCCCTTCACCCACTGGCCGATTAACTCGCAACCGCACTCGAGAACTAGCTCAGAAGGCCGCATTCGAGAAATCAGTCTTGAAAGAACTCTTGGCCAAATATTCTATCCACAGATGGCTCGAGCCATTTGTCCTCAACATTCGCGAAGTTGAAGCAGATGGCCACTGTGGATTTCGCGCCATTGCTGTTTCTCTCGATCGACCTCAAGACGATTGGCCCAACATACGCCAGCAACTGGAGGACACACTGTTACAATCGCCCAACATTTTTTCAGATCTATCTCTACCGGACCTGCGCGCTGAAGGCTTAGCCCACTTACGTACCCGCAAAGCCAATGTCGTAAATGAGCAAAAATTCTGGCTCACTATGCCAGGATGGGGTGGCGTTATAGCCACCACCTTCAATCGACCTGTCATATTCTACGGCCCCAATCATTCTGATCAAATCACTTTTCCTTACCTCACCCCCCCTAATACTTCACCACCGATTGTTCTAGCACTGGCCTTTCAACACTTCTGCTCACTCAGCCTCGATTTGGCCCGTCCCAATCTTCCGGTACCTAAATTCTGTCGCATTTGGCAGCGCTTTTGCTCGCCTGAAGCCTCACACTGGTTGAGTAATTGGAGCTCCCTGATTGACCACCACGCAGATTACATGGCATCTCAAAACAGAACTTGACGACGCAAAAATCAACGAAGTCCAATTCACATCAAATGAGATTCTTAACTTTATTTGTTTATTTATTTAATTCTTGTATTATATATCAACTTGTGTGATATCATCACATTTCCTTTCAAATTGCAGTTATCAAAAAAAATCTGATTACAAAGAATTAAGTAAGACACAAAGACCCAAACAAAAAGCAGTGCACACAGAGAGGACTAATAATAATAAAGGTAATGTAAGTCGTCATCATCACCGGGCTCTTCTGGCACCAATTCCTCATCCGCTTCCTCGTCCTCATGTGCCCAGAAAATGGGCACACCAAGTATTTCTCCCCATGTAGACGCCGTGCGATCCACCATCATCTTCCACCTAGTGAGCAGGTTGACATCAAAAGCTGCATCGACTTCTACAAAAGGTGCGGTGGAATTCATGACATCTAACAAGCCGTGATCCCACCACTTCCACAAACGACAGCTTCTCTTACTGAGGCCGCTGTGGATAGACCTCCACTCCAACACCCGCGCTTCACCTGTATGCAATATATAGTTTTATCAACACGATTCACTCGTCCACTGCTCTGCTTCCATGAACGAGTCAGCCGAGAGAAGGAATCTTACCAGGTTCATTTGCCTTGCAGGCCTCTACGCGCGCTTGATGATCAATGCCCCAAAGAATAAGCTGCCTTGCCTCGCGCCCCAAACGCCGGAGCTCCTCTTCACACGACCTCTTACTTTGAAAGGCAATGATCCCTGCCTTGGTGCTCTCACATCGAGCCCAAGGCTCATCCAGATGTTTGAGCGCGGCCTCATCCCAGAACGGATCCAAAACGTCCATGTTGTCTACTTCGTCGAATGAAGGCTCTTTAAGACGCGGCGTAGGGCGGAATTGCCTGTTGTACTTCGCCGCATACCTCAAATATGTATCGGTTTTTTTCTTCAGTAGGACTCTTTTCTTTCTCCTCAATTCCTCGTTTCGAGGCTGCTGAGTGGCCCCTTTAGTGGGATGATTACATCAGAACGAAGCAAGATTCCAATTATACAATCCGACCTACCGGTCCTAGTAGCAGCGTCTGCGTGCTGTTGGATGACACCAAACTTTGCTTCGTACAACAATCCCAAAGCTACCGAGACAGTCGTAGCAGACTTGACTCGATCATCTAACAATGATATGATCCCAGCGTAGCGTCAGTGCCTCTACACATCACAGCTTCGCAATCGGACCTACTGTCACGGTGCTTAACATTGAGCAACTCCGTGTTACCCAGTTCCTCGGCCACTTCTTGCACTTTGGCCTCGAGATTGGCAAGGGATCTGGGCAAATCCAGCAGATCGTGCCAATGCTCAACTGTGCGTATAGCAGCGTTTGCCGGGTTCATATCCTCGAGTTGTCGACTGTATAAACATTGCAATAGAGTGTTCATTAATCCTAAATCAGATAAGACCATATAAACAATCCACCAACCGGGCATCCAGTAGCTCTTCCTCGAGTTGGATCAACACCACCAGTCTAGCTCGTTTGTCTTTGGTTGTCTCGTTGATTGCTTTGAGTTGTAACTCCCGTTGGCGCGCCCACTGGGCTTCAAAATAATTAGTTGTGTGTGTGGCATTTGCTCTGACCAGCTTGGACAGACATGCCTCTGACTCCTGCAACTCTGCCACGTATTTTTTGGTATGTTGAACTAGAAATGAAACTGCGGTTTTATATTAACTAAATGGTGATATTGGCAATATTTTAAACCTCGCGTTTACCTGCTTGCTTTCGCAATTGCTGGTTCCGATGGTGATTCCAAAGGTCAAGACTGACAAGCCTACGCTGCTTAGTCGCATAGCGTAGAAGCCGGACCAGTGGAGCGTTCTTCATCCAAACACGCTTCATACCTTCTCCATTTGATTTACCCCATCCTTTGTTGAGTCGAGGATTGTACTCGAGTTGGCAACCCCAACTGTGAGCGTATGCGTGGAACAACGCAGTGCCGAGCTTGACTTGTGCCGCATATTTATCATCTGTAAATACTTTTGTCTGTTGATAAATTGAAAGTGACGAGACGATGTAAGTAAGTATGACATATTCTTTCAGGTATTGATGGGACACGAACCTTTTTAATTGTCTTATCCAGGGTACACCCGATATCATATAAGATACCTACGCTGGTTTCAAATTCCCGTTCGTCCGCGAATAGATCTAAAAGCCACTGGATAAGGGCCACTGCGTTATGATTTCTTGGAATAATATTGGTTATATACACTATTAGTTGGATCCGAATTGAAATGGGTAAACACAATAAATGGAAATATACATATACATACTTTTCACCGCTCTGGACAAGGTTGATGAATTTGATCACGTGGTCGTGTCGGCAAGCCATACCTAACAAGCCAGATTCATCCATGGATTTAAAGTGATGTTTGCCCCGGACATCATTGGCAGTGGTATGCGCTTCAGTACATTGGTCCTGAAGTTTGGTTCAATATCAACGGCTCACTCATTTAAATTAAACACTACATCTTGTATTGTTTCCCAAAAACACTCACGCCTTCGCCAAAATCTTGTCCTGCCATCTGGCGAGCCTTAGCTTCGACCAGTTTAGGGTCCAGAAATATATCAGGTCGTGGAGGCGCGAATCCAGGAATAGGGACACTTGCCGCCGCGTGCCTCTTGTGTTGGAAATTGCCGTCTAAACAAATTACCATGTCGGGTTCATTGGCCTTGCTGACGCCCACTGGAGGTCCAAAACACTTTGGACAATTTGCAGCAACTTTACCCAACTCCGTAAGTTTCAGCCGTTCATTTTCAATATTTCGAATTTGAAGATTGAGTGCCCAATAGGCATCCACCGCCGCGGTGAATGGCTGACGCCAATCGCGAGGCTATTGAATATCAATAATGATGATAACTAATCAGTTCACTTCAAAAGGAAAAATAAAATGTATCTCACTAACTTACACGCATGTTTGATGTGAGTATGACAGGATTGTGGTTATCAAGGGTATCATCTAGTCCCTCACAAAAGCCTTGAATGGGCACAGCATAACGTAACCACATCGCGTGATGATGCACAAGGAGACGAAGTGCAAACGCGGTGCGTGGTGTCTTTGGGGATGCTGCCATGTAACCCATCTGAAGAAGTCTTTGTGGGTCGGACAAATCGCAATTATGGCAAAATGATACCTTCACGCGTCGGCGCCCTGATGGTAACAGAACCCACTCAGGTAAGCGAAGCGCGAGGAAGTGCTGTATGACAGCTCACCGATCAGCTCAACCAGGTCTACATCACGCTCCGTCCGTCTGGCACAGTTACAGGGGGGCCTGAAGTCGTGAGTACACATTTCGTTGTTAAACCAGTTCGATGTTTGTAGTCGAAGACGCAGGAATGTTGGCAACATAATAGCATACTGCCACAACCATCGATTTCACCTGTATGTTTCCAAAACTACTAAGTGTATCCGACTGTACGGAACACTGTACCGACCCATGGAGTCCGAAAACATAATCTAGATATATCTAGAGGCATAGATATATCTCTGGTAGCCTCAAAATCCGGCCAAGTCCAAAGTCCCCCCCCAAACACCTACCAACACCTCACCACCCTCACCACCACTCTCTGCCAGCTCACCACCCACTCACCACCCAGCTTTTCCCACCACCCCTCACCCCCCTCACCCCTCTCAAACCGATTTTCCCACCACCCCTCACCCCCCTCTTCACCACTTTCTCACCAACTACCCGACCTCCTTCACCACTTCACCACTCTCTCCTTGGTACCCGACTTTGCCCACATCTCTTTTGAATACCCCCTCATCTCATTGCTCACTCCCACAGGCCTCACCAATCCTCAACCCACTCGGCCTCTCAATTAACCAATATGCCATACCAAACTCGAGCCCGTGGCGGTGGTCGCGTTGGTACAAACACAAGCCCTCGTGGATCTCAATCACCCCCTCCTGAACCTCGATTGGTTGAAGACGACAATGTCTCAGACGAAGGCTCTGCAGACGAGACCGAAACAAGTGGAAGAAAGAAGCGCAAGCGGAAGACCCGGATCGCCCTTCCAACCATCCACAACTATCACGAAGTTGGCCTTGAATGGGGTCAAGTACGTGCTGAAAGGATCCTTGCCCGACAACCTCACATCAAGACTCGCACCCCTCCAACAACACTTTTTGAAGCTCAAGCACTGCAAGCTCAATACAACCTTGACAAAACAATGCTCTGTATAGCCGAAGGAATCAGCCGATCTACCCTGGATGCATCTCTGTAAGTTTTCACGTTAGTCAGAGTCCTTCCTATTTTGATTGTATTTTATTATCACAGTCACGAGGGTCCCCTTGCCCGCGAACCAAACAGATATACTAACTATCAGACATATAGTATAGTCAGTACCACAACACCCAGTAAGTACATCAATCAAATGAATCATTGCTTCTCAATCAATTTTGGTTTATATTCAAAATGAATCCATTATTCAGTGCCGCCCAAAGGCCAATCGGCGGGGTTCAAGCAACGTAATGCCATCGTAGGCAATGCCTGGTCATCATATAGCGACGACGAAAAGGATGTTTTTTCCCCCAGGTTGTTCGAACGCCTCATACAAGCACTCATGCAAGAAGCCGACCCTCTTCTCGCCCCGGAACCCACATCAACCAGTCCAATTGAAGCCGATGCCGATGAATTAACTGACGAGGACAAAGCTCAATATTTGCCCTTATTCAAAAATCTAGTTAACATGCAAAACGTCAAGCGTGACTTCAAAAATGGTCAACTGTGTAGGCACAGCGGAACACCCAATCGAGTAGAAAAAGTCGGCATTGAGGAGATCAAGAAAGTGGTTGAGCAAGTGAGTGTTTCTTGTCTCTGTTATCATCAGTACACTACATATTCAAGTCAGCTCAATTTACAAACACTCTGGCCAGCTTCATCTCATACACAACAAATTCCGGTTTCAGTTTCACCTACTTGTGTCTGCGTGGCATCCAAATACTACAATGACCCGTGCCTTGTATCAAGATGAGTTCACATCGTGTGAACGCTGGGCTGTACATGCCCGCAGTGAGTTCCACCTCCTCGAACGATTTGCTTTGGAGTCCACTCAAGCACCTCCCAATACGAAAAAAAAGAACAAAAAAACCGACTCTGCAACTGCAACACATCAAGATTGCCTGCGCAAAGAGCTTACCACCTGCCTCAACGGTCTTGTACGTAAGTTGACCCCCGCCAATTTTCATGAGCCTCATCTTCATCCGACTCTTCTGATCTATCGGACATCTCTGATCTATCGGACATCTTCCATCTAATGATCACCCCTCAGAGGCTCATCTACCAGGAGGTCGCCAATCAAAATCAGACACTCACCCACAAGGACCAAACCCGCACATGATAATTCTAGAAAGAAAGTATCGGGGGGAAATTTTCCTTGCTGTTGAGCGCCTACCTGATTCGCAAGTAACCAATGAGATGCTTGCAAGGGGCTCGCGTGCTGGACAACTCCCCGATGCACAAGTGCAAGTATGGATTGATGATATAAAAGCTGGAAGATATTTGATTGTCAAACCACCCCACACAGCACATGCCCCTTCAGCCTCCGCCGAACATACGAGCAATAATACAAGCAATTCTTAGGAATGACTCATTTGGGCTTTCACTAGCCATAGTATATGATATTTAGATATTAGTCTTGTTATACAAACAATCTATACATGATCTACACACACAACTATATGTTACCTTCACAAATACAACAAAATACCCTCTTATTCCGATCTTCATGTCGTGTTCTATCTTTACTTGACAGATGTTCTTTCAAGGGATTTTTAAATTTTCGTCTGATATCTCATCCTTTCTTGACTGAATACAAGGCTTTTGATTGTTCTTATTTCTGTTGTTCGGTGGGTGTGAAAGACTATTTTAGAATTCAAAATGTGATATATATGTTGCTCATTGTTTCCCAGACTTGCCTAAAGTCTATATTACACAACAAGTATGTTTGCTCTTCGGCTCCATACCTAATTGAGTAATTCAAATCTATTGATTTATTCAGATTTTTCAGGTGTGTTTATTTCATTCAATTAGTTTATATTCAATTAGCCGCTATTCAATTAGTTTTCAAATATTCAGCTCTTTCAGGTTCGTTCCATTTGATGTTTCACTTCTACATACATGAGTACTACATAATTACATCTAATTACACTACTGCTCCCTAACTGTCCCAGGGGTTTCATATGTACAAACTCCTTTTTGCTGATTATTCCGAATTAATAGAACGGTACGGGACAGTACTTGTCCAAATTTTGCCCTTTTCCCAAACCTCAAGTGCTCATACCACCTCTCTTCCCATCAACACCCACTCATCTCATTCGTTTTTCTCCACTTCAACTCCAGCTCATATCACTTTTCCTCACCTTCAACTGCTCTCCCCTCCCACCCGCCAAATTAATCAATCAACCTTCTATCTTTGTCCTTGTAATCTTTACTGGCTGTACGTTTGGACGCACTGACAGGTTCAGGTGGCCCTTGATACCAGACCATTTGGCTCTTGTCTGCACTGACAGGTTCAGGCAGTTCAATCCATATCGACTTTTGATATTCTCCTTATCGTGATCTAGTCTTTTATCATTTCCATCGACTCCACCAACTTCCAACGAGCACCATGCAAAAAATCAAGTCAACACCCAAGGCTGAAGAACATGAACTAGAAGCTCGGCACTGGAACGAACTAGAAGCTCCGCACTGGAACGAACTAGAAGCTCCGCACTGGAACCACGCCCAGGATCAATTTATCGTATGCTTTGATTGTTCACAAGCTTGCTGGGAAGAAGTCTGACTCCAGATTCAAGTCGGTGATGACCAATTACAAACTAGCCTTCAAATGAAATCTAAAGCAATCTCAGATTAAGAAAAACTTTCAAACTGTGAGTTATATCGTTCTGTTTCTATCTACTTTCTTTTTTATTTCCTTTCGTTTTGATCCTTGCTGACCAGTGCTTGCTTGGGTGTTGTGTAGTTAAAGATTACATAGTTGAAGAAGGCATACATCATCTTTCACAAGTTAATGAAGAACTTTCACCAGAACAACGATTCACGCTAGCTATCATTCGAGAAACAACATATGCTTCATTGACCGATATACTTTATTCAACCCCGACGAATCATAAGAAACTCGAATCTGAAGATAGTACAGATGGAGAATCATCTAAATCATATTTCGCTGCACTTTGTTTAGCTTTATTGGAATCGGATGTTTCAATCAATCGAATTGATACAGAAGAAGAAACAGTTGAAGTAGTTAAACTTGATTCTTCTCAACATTTCACAAGTTTCAAATTAAATATTGTCCAAATCAATCAAAACGATTAATGTTTGAACTTATCAGAATGGGTAGTCCGACCCAACATTTAATGAATGAAGATACAAGAATCACAATCATTAAGGCTTCTCATGATTCTCCTAATCAAAATGAATTAACTAAAATTGAGCAATTAAAACTTGAATTGGAGTTAAGTACTTATCCAATTGAACCTGAATCAGATGTTAGAATTGCTTCTAATGTCATCAATACTCTTGGATTGAAAATCAGTCAAATTGAAGCTTTTAGAAAACGTGAAGCTCAATTATTCGAAATCCTTGTGCCTACTTTGGCTAATCGAAATCATTCATGAAGAATTCGAAAGTTGGGATTCAATGGTTTGTTTGTTTTTTTAAGGTTTTAGGGGGAAAGGGTAAAAGGAGGAAAAACACGCTGGTTGGGTTCATTGAATTCATATGTCTCTTGGATTTGGGTCTTTTTTGATTCATGACTTTTTTCCTTTATTCTTCTCTTTTAAATATGCTTAGTATATAAACAAGAATTGGTGTTTAAACAGATGCTTAATTTTTCTTTATGTTCTACCTTATATATACCGACAAACACACGATCCTCTTCATCTTTCCGCTTCTGCATCCTACTCTTTCTTTGTAGTTCATCAGAAACCTGGGATTTGTCTATGACTTGTTTTTTGACACGAATTCATTTCATAACTTTGTAACTTGACCATTTTTTCTTTCTGTTTTTCTCTACTGATCTAAGTAATATTTATATGTATATCTTGCTTTTCTGTTTATTGAATTAGTTTTTTTGTCTTACAAGAAGGAAGTAAACAAAATGAATTAAAGTCAAACATTGTCCATTTTTCACATTGAGAATTGTATTTCATCAGAAAGTGTGAAATGAACTCAAATGAACACACTGTTGGAGCGCATTTCTTGAGAGGGGAGGAAGTTGTTGACTGTGCGATTTGAATGCCAATTGGAGAGTAGATTAAGCTGAAATAAACAGGGATATGTATCATAAAGTCTTGATGGAATTCAGTTGTGTGGTTGGGTGCTTCAAAAATCAGCATATTGTTATGCTTGCACAGGAGGTAAAGTCGAATTTCTCAATCTCAGAATGCAGGTAGACACAGTGCTCAAAAGGAAGTTGGTCATTATTTGAGTTAAAATATGAGTGAACCTGTTTCAATTATGGTCTAGCATAATTCTATCAGTTTGCCAATAATATTATATAACAGATAAAACTATCAAACTTTCAGTTGCAAAATAAGCAGCATAATGTACGTGTGCAGGTCACATATTCAAACAAAGTTGTCCAAAAAACTTTACACATCTTTTCAGTTAGCATGAAAGTTGAACCTATCCCCTCATGATATAGCATAGCTCTATGAATGAGCAAGTTATGATGTATGTTCCATAGACTCATTTCAGGTTCATTGTGATTTTGTCCACAAAATCACATCTTTCTTGTAGACACCTACATCAAATAAAACTTTTTCATTTTTCAACAGAAGCCAAAATTGTGATTTTGTCCACAAAATCACATCTTTCTTGTAGACACCCACATCAAATAAAACTTTTTCATTTTTCAACAGAAGCCAAAAATTGAACTGGGGTCATACTATTATGGCTTAGCTCAAAGTAACTATATTCCAACTTTCTTGGTTGTGAAATAATTGAGTGGTGTTTTCTGTTTTGTTGACGCCATTCCCAAGAGTATTACAATAAGCAAATCAGCATTGTTAAAAAGCTTGCAAGCTGATAGCCCTATGCTACCCCATCACAGCATCAGTTTGATCTTTTCAATACCTTGAAAAATGAAACGCTTGTATTTGAGCACTGTCTCTCAAATATTGAAACACAAGGTCACAATTGCGACGCATATCATAATGCCACTGTGATGACTTGGTTAGGATAATGATTAAAGTATTTGGGAGATAGAAATACACTGTCTCATTGTGCAACCTGTTCTACTTTCTTTTTAACTCAGACAAAACTTTTATTTGAGCACCGTGTAAATGACCCCCACTCCTTGTGTGCTACTGGAATCACAATGAACCCGCAATGAAAATGGATATCATTGCACACAACTTGTTGGTTGATAGAGCTATGATCTTTGGTTATGAACATAATCTTATCTTTTATCCAACTTTAATAATGAAGAGGTTTAATAATGTACTACAACACAACACAATTGACCTGCACGCAGTGATATTTGTCAATAAAAGCACACAGAAGTTTGGTTTGTCCACAGAGAAGGAAAAACGCTTCATATAACTTGGGTTTGTTTACCAAAAATAATTTCACATCTGCACTTATATCCTATGCCTCTTCAAGACAAGAAGCCTCAAAAGAGTGTCACATCATATTACATATCATCTTGAGCCACTGCGATAAGCCTGTACCTCTCCCAGTGGTCTACGGTTCAAGTGGACAATTCAATATCAATATCAGTTTGAACAGTTATGGACACAGACATTTAATGACAAATTCAACTTGACAGTTAGAGTGAGACTGTGCAACCACCCTTTTCAAACTTGAATGGTGGTTGAAATAAATAATGACCAAATCGACAAAGCTTTTACTTCACCTTTTTATAGGTCCGAACATTGTTCCGTTTTGGGGATTCTGTTTTGGTATTCTTAACTAACGTAGATTAACCAATGAACAGAAGTCATTAGTACATATAGTCAATAGCCTAGTTAGTCTCAAGCAATTCCGAAACAAGAAAAATATCTCGTTCATCCTTAGCTGTTAACCTTTCATTCTGTAAGATGCCTTCAAATGCCAACAATCGCCCTCTCAAGAATATAGGACGACACCCAAAACCTGTTACTCCTCTCCAAGCTGCTTTCTTAGCTCAGAAAAAAAAAGATCAGCGTCAGACAAGGCAGTCGCAATCTCAGTTCAACATACGCAAAGAACCATTGGCCTCAAATGTGAATGTGACACCACAGCAGCCAGATTGGGCAAACTCGCAAACTTTTGGAGACATTGAATACGATTATGGAGATGAAGAAGTTGACCCAACAGCGCACACAAACCTTCAAGATTACATAGACAATGACGATTGGGAGGACGAAGACTCCGAATACGATTCGGAAGATGAATACATACTTTCAGGCCTTCGTCGTCGGGAGTACGACCGGAGAAGACTCAATCAAGAAGTCCAATGGCACCGACAATGCTCTCTGATGGTTGCACCGTTTCTTCGATGCCGTAAAAAAACTTCTGATTGGGGTAATTGGATAAATTGTCATCAAGATTTCAAATCGCCCTGCTCCTGCCCAGTGAAAAGCAAACGGACTGTTTGGGTTGATCTAGTGGATCTCTTAAGTCAGTGTGAATGAGTGTTTCTTGTATTTGTGGAAATCAGTGCTGATATTTTTCTTGTGGGCAGCACGAGAACAAAAAGAAGTGACGTTCTGTGACTGTGTCACTGACCCTGTCCGTCTTGTTGAGATGGGATATATAGGAGCCACACCCTTCCATCCCAACACAGCGTTTTCGATCCGTCTGCTCAAGTACTTTCATGTCATTTGGAAGTACTGTGCCACACGTACCCAGGGTTTTATGCGAGCTATCGACAAGTTGCTCAATTCGTTCAACCCTATGATACTCACAAAGAGTGGACAAGTACATATTTTTCATGATTGAAAGAGTGAGCCAATAGTAGTTGTCTGATTATATGCACCTTCTGGATTCTAGCCTCGAGATTGGCGAGAGCCTTTTGTCTCGGCTCTGGATGCTTATCGTTCCATCATTACTAGTAGCAGGAGGAAGGAATTTGAAGTGCTCAAGTTTCAACCAATTGATTACCTGGCAGCGAACTGTCCAAGGTGTTTTGGCCCACCGGCGGGAGCCACGGAACCTGAAGAACCACATTACATAGTATGTATGGATGGGAACTTTCAGCATCGCAGGCATGCAGCTGCGAGTGTCCCAATACCAGGATATGTGCCTGAGACCCCCGAGCTCTTCATGCATAGCACCGAACTACTTAAGCTCCCTGAGAATAATCGCCGAAGACCTGGAACTACAATCGAAGATGAGGAGGTCGTAAGTCAATCAAATTCTTCTCCTTTCAATTGTGAAGTTTAGTATAACCAATATTACTAATATTGTACCCACAATTTTGGATAGCACCCTTGTAGTGAGCAGCATACCGCCGCAAACGATGTTAGAGGCAAATCCCACTGGGGTGGCTGCGATGATAACGGGCTTTTTGGGATGGGGTGTCGCCATGATCACACCCTTCGATATATCAACATCATACAGAGCGGAGAAAAGTAAAGTTTTTTTATACTTTCCATTTGTAATCGATACCCTAACAGAAAGGGAACCTTCAAAAATAGATCTATTTTTGGATTGTCCATGATCGATTGGATTTTGAAAGTTGTTGGTTGTGCAACAGGCCGCGAGGACAGGAATAAGGTCGGATTCTTATATGACATTGGATGTAGTGTTCAGAAAGGAATATTAAAAGTCTGTCAAAAAGATGTTCTCAACTTCTACCCTGATGCCCTGACCTCTCACTCTCAAACAACCAAACAGCGCAAACAATTTGCAAATGAACGCGAGCATGGGCGACTCAAATTCGGAACCAGTGTCTTCCATGCTTATGTTCACGAGTGGGGCTGTCAATTAGACTATAACCCTAGGCTTAATGTTGGGTGGGGACTTTCTGACGGTGAAGGCTTGGAACGTAAATGGTCAGAGTTGTCTCCGCTAATCACACCAAACAGGTATGCAACCAGCCAACATCGATTGGTAAGCATCAGTCTACGCTCCATTCATGGCAATGAAATGCTAAAGAATAATGCAGGTAAGTGGGGTTGAGTAGTGTTACACAATTCATTTTTGATTTGAGCTGACTTTGGTTTTTGCCATTCTCAGTTCGATCTGTTAAAAGACGGTTCAAAGAAGTGGAAAAACGACTGGTTGAAGCTGAATCAGCGTTACATAAAATACAGGCGCAACACCCAACTCATACTATAGTGTATCTAGAGACACAGTGGAACAGACAGAGGGAATTGCAAAGAAAAATCATATCTGAGAGTGCCAAAGACAAGCGCGCACAACTTTCGGTGCTTATCAAACTTGAAGAAGGGCTGGTTGAGGCTCGGTAAGTCACGTCACTTTGTTTTTCAGAGATCTAATGTTGTAATCTGATTACTGGTCCAACAGTAATAAGCTCCAAGTCATCGAAGCCAAAAGTCGAATGGCACGAACGGATGAGGAACATAATGCGCTCCTCAGATTACCTCAAACACTTGTACTTTTGGAGCAGAAAGCCCTAGATTTGGCTAACGAGCTTGGCTCAAAGCACTTCCATCGATCTTCAGGTGAGGTTCTGTGATTTATTCTGCTGATAATTTTGTTTCTGATAAGCCTCTGATACTTGATGTGGCATATTAGACGGTGAACGAAAGTCACTACTTACAATCCAAATGGCAAAGACCAGACTGTACGAGGCCAAGGTTGGTGTTGTTGAAAATCAGAGACGTGCTCGTCTGCATACAGGTAAGGTACTTTGTCAGGAAAGAAATAGGCATATTGGCTGATCTCATTCTTGTGTCTAGGGACAAAGCATCAGTCTTCGATCAATCAGACGCGAGAAAAAAAAAAGAAGTCATTACAGACGAAATTGAATACCTATCATCGACATGTGTCTAACTATAATGAACAGTACTCAAGAAGGCGAAGGGTGGGAATCCCTGATCCCACCTTTGAAGAAATAGAAGCGATGCCGGTCACTGATTTGTTTTGGGATCTGGGTGGTTTGACTCATCCTGAAGAAGCCTGGGCTTCAAATGAATATACAAGGGAAGGTATTCAACATTATCTGGTCAAACGAGCTGCTGGTGAAGAGGTAAGACGAATTGCAAGAGAGGCTCGTCAACTTCTCCAATGGGCACTGTATTATCAACAAAAGGTGGACAACATTCAGGTAGATCGATTACAAGCGCAGGGTAAGTTGTTTTGTATTGGTCTTTGTGATTGTAGTCGATATTGCAGTCTTCTTACTTCATTTTTTTGTACAGATGTAAGCAAAGCGGAGATGATTGAGCTGTTATACTGGAACCTTGTCCAAGAGACCAGTCGCTTATGGATGACTTTGGATTATGGTCTGGAGGATGTTATGAACTCCACAGCACAATACTTTGATGGTGCACATGTTTCAGATCAAATTCTCTTAAATCAATGGAGATCGATGAGGGCAAGGACTATGGCTCACTGGGATGAAGTTGTGGATATACCCGCTTTGATTGCAAAGAAAACAAATGAAGACTTGATGATAGAACACTAAACGCTGATACAAAAACTTTAGTTGAGAACACTAAACGCTGATACAAAAAATTTAGTAGTCTTGTTGTAAAGTATTGAAATATGGTCTGTGAGGTTTAGAAAGAGACTGTATTGAATTTGGAATAAAGATATACTTTCTTCACTATCTTTTTGATCGTAACGACCTGCGAGTAGTGAGTATTACAGTGTCACTTTCAACTTGCCCTTCTAGTTCTGCACGCCCTCGCTTTCGAGTGAGCGGCTGATTGTTGGTTTGGCTGGACATTTTACCTTTGCCTTTTGTAGATCGAAGGTTTTTTGATGATAACGAAGCAGTGCCAGACCAATCAGGGGGATTGGAGACTGAAGCGTGATCCGGATGAGAAACCTCAGTCCGCTTCATTGTTGTGATCATTGTGGCAGATACTTCTTCCGGTGATTTATTATGATCGATCGAGGTCTAAACAAATGGATGTGTTATACTCAGGGGATACGGGACAATACATACTAAATGAAGACTTACATGTGTGCTGTGTGGTATTGTGTGCTCGACTGGGACATGCGAGAGGCTTCCTGGTGACTGCTAGGTAAGAGGAGAATTTACAACATGAGCTTGTGATTTGATATGACGCACGATCTGGGATTCTTACAATATGTTTGTCGGATTCTGACTTGCTACCAACAAGAGGAGATGGATGATTTGGTGGTCCGACAAATTGCCTGGTAGGTGTGTCTTCTGCATTCTATCCAGTGCATATATATGTAAGTGTCATGTCAATCAGATTGGCTATGGTGTAACTCACATTGACTTGTTTGTTATTGGTATCAATATCAATTGCGGTGTTGGGTTCAGAGGTGTGAATTTGCCTGAACAAACTATCGATTTGATGCATAAGCTCCTTTTGATGTTCAACCGTCATTCCTAGAAGTCTCGAGTGACAAATCTTGATGAATGAGTTGACCGTTGGTTCAGAGGTGCTTGAAGGAGTAAGCTCGCAGGTGGGTGACTTGGGTTGAATATCAGCGCAGCCAAGAGTTCTCAATGCAAGCTTGGCATTGAGGTCATTGTGCGAGGCTGTGGATGGTTGGGATGTAGGAAGCGTGAGAATTTGTGGCGTGTTTGTAGATTGGAGTTTGATATCAGCGTTGGGTTGATGATTGTGTGTGATATTGACGTGAACAAGAGTCCAAGTTTGGTCGGTCGAATTGTATCGTGCCTTGAGGGTAAATGGGCAGTTGATTTTCAAAGACTTTGACTCCTTTGTAGGGTCTTTAGCTGTTTCAGGTTTGCCACTGCGGTGGCAGATATACTTACATCGTTGCTTCTTCTGCACCGAGGATCGACCAATAGATATGTGATAGCCGTGCTGAGGGCTGAATCCCTTGACATACTTGTTCATCAATTCTAGCGTAGGTCCAGGAAGTATGATGGGAGGCGGGGCTGGAATACTGTTGTTCGATTGGGTGGCTTCTGACTCCATGATTGAGATCTGATGAGACGATTGGTATGAGTGATTTGACGAGGATATTCAATAAAGGAAGTTGAATCTGGATACCTTAAGCAGTGTTTTTGGCAAAAAAGTTGTATGTCAAGAGAAGTCGGGTGTGGTGGTGTTGAACGTTGGGTGGTGGTGAGAAAGTGGTGAAGAGGGGGGTGAGGGAGATCGGGTAGTTGGTGAGAAAGTGGTGAAGAGGGGGGTGAGGGGTGGTGGGAAAATCGGGTTGAGAGGGGTGAGGGGGGTGAGGGGTGGTGGGAAAAGTGGGTGGTGAGTGGGTGGTGAGCTGGCAGAGAGTGGTGGTGAGGGTGGTGAGGTGTTGGTAGGTGTTTGGGGGGGGACTTTGGACTTGGCCGGATTTTGAGGCTACCAGAGATATATCTATGCCTCTAGATATATCTAGATTATGTTTTCGGACCCCATGGGTCGGTACAGTGTTCCGTACATTTGGATACACTTAGTAGTTTTGGAAACATACAGGTGATTACATTCAAAGTTTAAATTGCAAAACATTTTGAATTGATCTGCAGCAGGGAGATTATGGAAAAAATTTAGATCAGATCACAACATTACTTTATACCATTTGCTACATGCTGAACTACTGGCGGCTAATAAAGAAAGACTGAAATTAGGCACTATCTCAAATTAGTGAAAGGAATATGGTTCTACATGAGCAACATACGTAAAAGACTTGTGCTAATTGCACAACTTGAAAGCTACGCTCCTTGCCACAATTCGTGTAATATGCCTAGTAAGAAAAATTGGTACGGTGTTTATTGATGTACCAAAGTCTTCAAAATGTAATGTACATGGATTAAACCGCGTTTTTGGAATTCAGGAACAATTTTGAAGACAACAATTTCAAACTGCTGACGTCCATTGCCACGCTCTGATTGAGACTCATGGGAACTGTTCACGTAATTGATGACTGATGCACAAACTTGTGAGTTCAGTGGATTTGTTGCATGTGATGTAGTGCTAACGGAGAATTGTTTTGAAAAAATTGCTTACCTATATTGCTTAAAAAATCAAGCTCTCTTATAAAGAAAGTACTATTGCTCTTACCAACAGAGTTTATACTGTAACTGCTGAGTAAACATACGTAAAAAAAGTTCAACCGGGAATTTAAGTAAATATTTAAGATGTATTTATATATCATGATTAGAAGCGAACTCACGAATTAAATAATAAGGTGAATAAAGCCATTTCTTCACACTGAATTATTGTGCAAGATGCATGATCAGCATTTCCTGGTGTGGTGTGTGTAACTACAGGGCGAGCCAAAGTTATTATCCTCATTTCCGGTAATTTGTACTTGAAAAACTCAATCATATAGCTAAGATTTGGGTTGCGTTTAGATTGTTTCTTTATAATTTTATAGAATTGGGTGTAGAGGGCTTGAGAGCAAGAAACTACGTTGTAATCAAAGTCTGTTGTTTCGAAAAGTGGCATTTCAAATATAGATACGGCTGTTGATCTACAATATTGGAAGTATGTAGGTGACTGATAGTATATATAGAGTCAATTAGAAAAGGTGGAATACTTCGATGTTGGGAAGAGTGATGAGAAACTGATACTTGAATCTCGTCTTGAGTACTTAAGTTTCGTTAAAGAGTGATTGAAACAATTGTTGTGAGACTTTCTTTACGATGATGTTCATATCCGCTATTTATTGAATTGGACTGGTGCTATGAATCACAAGACCTGACGGAGCAAATAGTTAGTCGATCATTTATCATTTACTGCGGTTATGAGTTAATAACTTATACTATATTATATTGTATGAAATTATATACTCGATTTAGCTGATTTAGTTAGGTTGTGAAGGATTGTACACGCGTATGTGCTTGATTTGAAGATTTTGGTGCTATATACAGAGTGATATTTTGGTTGATCGGGTGATTTTTATTGTTGTGAACGTATAGGTGGATAAAGTTGAGTACTGAGAAGATTGGCTGTGGTTTAAATTCGGCTGAAGTAAAAGGGAGTAATTTACATAGTGCGCCGCTATTTGTATTTAAGAAGATTGATTGATGATAGTCAAATATGATCACATATGAAGGAAATCAAGATGATGTTAACTACTCGAGGGTCAAAGGGGGTGTGTAATAGAGGCAGAAGATAAATTGGTTGTTGGAATCTTTATGTGTAATATGGGTGTAGTAGTGTTATTAGCAGTGGGTTGTTCAAATTCCAGTAATTTATAGATCCTGAGATACATCTAGTAGGGAGGATGTGATTGTGATGGAGGAGAAGTGGGGACTACTACGGGCGGGGGAACTTCAACATAAGAAATTGTACGGGAAAATACTGTATCAATTTCAATGTACAGGAAGATACTGTGTTAGTCTTAATTGAGTAAAATTTGTCAATTGTGTATCTTCGGCTATTTTGACTGCTAAGAGTTGGACAGCTTTGGGGATGCAAAAAACATTCATTAGGACAATTTTGATTGTTATTCAGGGCAAGGTTAATAAGAGCCGTGTCTTCCGTTAAATCCTCAACATGGAATAGCATCAGCGGGTAAATCTTCATATGAAGGAACAAGCAGGGAACACAATATAAATTTTAGTCATATTTGTCAGTTAGTTACGGAAATCTTTGATGTAAAAGAGCGTATCAGTAAAAACAGTATAAATTTTAGTTGAATATATCAGTTAGTTGGATTTGTTAATGGTTTATTTTGTAAATAGTCACTTTAATTTGATTCTGTTGTTCAGGTTTAACTTGTAATGATTATCACACAATCCAGATAGAAGGCTGATCCATCTATCATGTGGTCATATTTTCTGTGCCACTTGTTTAGAAACAGATTGGAGAACACAGCTCAATGATGGCAACACTGATCCTTACCGCTGCTTCAACCGTTGCACCAACTTTGATCCTAGTAGACTCGGTGTGATGTCTTCATTAGAGGATGTCAAAAAAACATTGAATAGATTAGCTTCTTGTTAAGTCCTATGTGTTAGTAGCTCATAAACCCAATAGGATTGGTATCTTTCTTTTTTCTTTTTTCTTCTTTCATTTTCTTTTTGGTGAATTTTGATGGGGGTTATATTGTTGTTTGTTTGCCGTATGTCTGATGCTTTGTAGAATGTCACAAGTGTGTAACTCTGCAGAAAGAAACTAAGTATAACATCATAGGTCTTTTTTGTTTGCTACAGTTTGCTGCCCAATTCAAGGTGGACTTACCATCCCAAACTCACAAGCTCTTGGTCTGCATGATGTGTTTCCCCTAACCTAATTTGTCCAAAATGCATGCAGACAGAAGTCAAGGGGCAAATGTTGATCAATTTTTTGCAAAAGAACAAATAAGCATCCTTTCTTTCCAAAAATATATATATGGATTTTGTTCACAATAAGAGGCTGAGTGTTCCAAAACTTGAAAATAAAGCAAAACAAAAGGCCGTCTTAACATGCGTTTATTGTTCCAATAAAGTTGACAATATCATAATCAGAATGTTCCAGGGCTTCATCTGGCTGGTTGATACAACAAGTTTTGAAGTTTAGGGATTGACTATTCTAGTGATATCAGCAAAGATTGATCATTCATATATGTCTCTCAGACACTTGGCACTCTTGTTCATTTTCAGGCTCATAATAAATCATCCCGTGCTACTGTGTACCCTTGTGTACCAAAGATTCTGGCTCCTGTTGGCATATGAACTATTTCGGTAGGGTTTGCTATCAAAATGCACTGATTACACTCAAAGGATTGAAGAACAGGGCAATGAGGTCATGTTTTTGCTGTCAAGGAGTCCGTGCTTGAATGACAAGAGTATTTGGGATGGTTGTTGTTCATTTGATAGGTGCAAATAATTTTTTGAGGTTTCTTCTAAACACTTATTTGACAGATACGGCATTCCACGCAAGTGTGTTGCTATTGGATTCCTCATTGTTTTGTACAATAGTTTCAACTTGATTCAATTTGACTCCACTCAAGACTCACTCGCTTTTTCTAAACCCCTCTTGTTTTCCTATCAACTACGCTTAACTCTTATTGCACAAATCTTTCCCATTGTACCTACATACGTTCTGGCTGTGTTGGCATTAGATATTTTTCATTAGCTAGTGAACTGATACGTATAAGCAACAAGAACCCCTTTTCATGTCAGTACTCCACAATCAATCTCTTAGAGAATACCCCGCTCACAACACTCCGGTTCTTCTCCGTATCATTGCTTAATCAGATTACTTAAACACCCAAGGAACAGCAACCCTGATAGGGCACCACTCTTGAACTTTCACACTCCAATGTGGAACTTAAGAGGTAATTTGGATGTATGCGCGCTTATGGACCAAATGCTTGCGGAAGCGGTCACAGTTGAGAGTTATAGATATCTCTTTGCAATTAACCCAAACCTTCGCCGTGAAAACAGCTAATCAAGAGGATTGCAGAGGGAAGAGTTGTGATTGAGTGTTTTCAGATGATCGCTAAGAGACAGAGATAGCAAAATTGCGGAATTTGCACGCCGTCAGTCCATCAAATTCAGAAATTTGAGCAAGCCACCGCGGCATACACTACACAAAATGTAATCTTTACCATGCGGTAAAGAAAACTACTGCCATAGAAAAATCCTGAGGCAACAGGAAGAGAGCTAAAAATCTGAAAAAATAGGGACCTCGTTCCTAGATGTTGGGGCGTCATGATGAGTATTGTACATACAGATATTGTTCAATGTACTAACAATAAAGGCTGAGAATCATCAAAAACCCACGTGTAACAATACCTAAAATTTAGCCCATGATTTTAAAGACAGGATTTTGAAATCTTCAAACATCAATAACTTTTGCATTTCCAAATCAAATCACTCAATTTTTAGTTGATCAAAAAGGTGGGTCCTTCCTCTACATTTATCATTGAGACTTCACATCTGTAGCCGGTCTTTAAAAGATCCTACAGAGCTATTTATTCAGAACTGTTTGAACATATGTAGAGTGTTTACATGACTAGATAACACCTTACTACCTTTATGAAGTTTAAA